AGAGCAGCACACACATCACAAGCTGCTCCGGTGGCAAAGTCACATTCCCTCAGCACTGAATCAAGAGTACAAAAAAGCCACAGTAGTGGACTTCTGTGTGTCTGTTTCATTTCAAACTAATTACTAAGTCACAGACTCTCACCACAAAGTAAAGGAAACAGTTTTATTTGTGAGCGGAGTTGCTGTTTCAGAGCTTGGTTTGGGCAGCTGGCTACTGAGATATGATAGTAGGTCTTAGCTTTTTATTTGGGTACAAATAAGGTATGCCAGAATTTAAAGCTTTGCCACAATATTGATGAAGACAAATACTAGGGTCAATTGCAACCGTATGAGTCAAAAAACATGAAGCAGAGACATTTCACCATGAAAATGACACAGTGGTGAAGTATTTAAGGGCTGGGCCAGAAGTGTGATGGGTTAAAAAAAAAAAAGCCTTCTAGGACGGCTTTGAGCCAACTTGAATACTAAGTGTGCCAGCAGCAGAACCAAGAAGCCCTTCAGGAAGTGATCTCTACTCTAACATCACTTCAACCTAAATGCTCTTCAATTGGTGTACGTGTCCTCCACTGTTCACTGGAATCCTTGGGCACAAGGCCTACTTCATGTGATGCAAAGATTTGGAATGAAATTCTTCAAGCAGTTCTTTACATTTGTGGTTCTTCAAACACGGCCATAGACCACGTAGTGTGGCCATAGACCATACAAGGAGGATAAGCCCTCTGATTATCAGTTACAAGAAATGAAAAGGAAATTTATGGGAAGACCTCTAGTCCCTCCTGCCATCTACACTGAGAAATTTATGGGAAGACCACTAGTCCCTTCTGCCATCTGACTGAGGGCAAACAGGAAAAGGAGAGCTGAGTTTCTTCTCGTGTTGCTGAATTGTGAAGGATAAGAAGAATCTTCTCTGCAGACACCCACCTCTCCTCTCATATTGACTCCTGAAAAGAAGTGGAAGGGATCCTTCTGTTTCCCTGCCTTTAAGGCTTATGACTCACCACTCAGGTGTCCGGCTCAGGTGTAAGTCAGACAGAACAAAGCAAATAAGATAAGGGAGCAGAAACTCAGGTCATATACATGCCAGGAATTTTTTGTAAATGAAAGAAGGAATTACCGACATTAAGAAACCACTCAAGAAGTTGTTTCATAAGGGTCCCTGCCACAATAACCCCTGCCTTCAGCATTGTCACATTGTACAAGCCTGCCCCAGCTGGTGCAGCTGCTACTGCCACAGACAGGCTTCTTCCACAGTCCCCACAAGATGGAGGTTGTGCTTGGGAATGACCTAAACTGTTTAAGGCCAACTTGAGATTGTAAGGGTGGCAGATCATTCCTGCCACCCGTACCGCACAACATAGTGAGGCACTCTGCTCATGCCATCCTACACCCAACAGCATGACGTGTTTGAGACTGCAAGCAATAGTAGTGTTATATCCATGTGGTGCTGAAGACAATTTAACTGACAGTCACCATTTTAAGATGAGTGAGGGTTTTTGACCCAGTTACCCCCATTGGAAGGCAGTACCAGAACCATACTGCTCTGAGGGTTGGACATCTTTGAATTTGCAACCTAAACATAATCAAAACCAGCATCTACCCATCTGATCATGTGCTGGTATTAAATTATTTCCTTTCATTTCCTCACAGAAAAACTGCATGAAACCCCAATGTCCTGCAATCCCCAATGCTTATTACCCTGCTCCCCCAACTGGAAGCCAGATAGCTGTGTCTGTGCAGTGCAGAGGGCAAGCTAAATGTCACAATGCTAAATAGCAGAGGTGTAGCAAGATCATTCAGAGCCTGGGGTGTGTATTTGGGGGGGAGGTCAGGTGAAGGGAAGGGAAGTCTTACTTACCTGGGCTTTCTGCATACTAAAGACAGCTGCCACTGCAGCCCTGAGATGCATGCTCCTTGGGAGCCGACTATGATGCCCAGTTCACACTCCCCCCTGCCCTAGATGTGCTGCTGAGCACAGGGTTGCCTGTGTTGTGGCATAAACTCCCCTGGAGATTGGGGAGGAGCACCATTCCACTCCACCCACTTGCCCCTCGCCCCTTCAGATACTCTGCTAGGTGCAGGGCTGTGCTGCCCAGCTCCTATGGCCCTGCAGCACTAAGCTACCCCTGCCGTGGCAAAGACGCCAGGGGAAAAGAGGGGAATCCTGCTTCCCTCTCACAGTTGATGCCTGGGCTGATGCGCCAGTTGTTCCAATACCTAGTTACACTACTGCTAGATAGTTCCCATTTGCATCACATGGATGAAGCTATGCTGCTTCTGGCTGGTGAGAAGGGAGTCGTGTGGAGCAGCATGACATACCCGAGGTCACTGCCAGTAGGCATGGTAAGTTTGTGGACCAGACACAGCCCAAGATTATCCAAGAGAAAGCTCTCAGATACCTCTGCAAAGCAAAATCAGGGGCAAGAAACAAAAAACAAGACCAATACTTTTCCTTTCTTCCATGCGCAAAATGGTTTGACTAGACATTTTCACAAGATGCAAAATGGCTACACAATTACACTCACCAAGCATCTCTAGTTCTCCCAAATGCTTGTTCTTACTGCATATGTTTTTCAGAGCCATAAATCAAGATGCTTTTGTCAGCTGGTATAAATAAATCAAAGCTCTTTGCAATGAAAGGAGAAAATGCCTTAAAATGGCAAACTAAAAACCTTATCTAAAGTACAGGATGCAGCATCATTTCTCTTCTGACTATTGGGTATCCTGCATTTCACACATCAGCAAAACTGAGGGTAATTATTACATGCTCAAAAATTTAGCATCATCCTCAGGCATCATGTGACAAGCTGTAAGCGGGGATCCTAGTTTTCCATGATAAAAAAGAAAAAAATTTGCCAATAAAAACATAAAAACCCATGTTTTCCCATGGCAAGCCCCCCACAATGCTGACTGGCTGAGAGGCCCTTGCAGCAGCACCACCCTTTGTTGCTAATAGGTCAAGAGAGCTGCCCTTCAGCCAGCTCCTTGCCACTGATTGGCCAAGAGGGCTGCCATTCATGTAGCCCCACCCCTTGCTGCTGATTGGCAAAGAGCGGTGAGGCCACATGAGGGGCTGTCCTCTTAGCCAATCAGCAGCAGAAGAAGGAGGGGGAAGCTGCCACGTGGCTGCTTCCATGTGTGCCAGTGGCTTCTCCCCCTGGCAAACTGCCATAACAGCTATGAGAACCACTGGCTCGCACTGGGGAGCCAGAATTTTATTTTCAGTAAGCTTTGCTTTTTTTTTCCTGGCAATTCTAAATATTCTCTGTAAAAACATATATTCCATGTTTTTCCATGGCAAACAGATTTCTGGGATCCCTGGTTATAAGAAATCTATCCAGTCCCCAGTGAACAAGAAGTTAACTCCACATCCACCATTCCATTTCTTAGGTGCCCAGGAAAGGGACTGGAAGAGTTTTGGAGATGGCATGTAGAGGTCCTTAAGGAAAGTTGAGTGCAACACTCAGATGTTGTAGGACTGACTTCTAGGTTGAGGGTAGGGTTGCCAAATCTGTTTGCTTCTATTCTGGGAGGTTTCCAGAAGGCTAACCTGCCTGAGACACAACATGAACGTGCCATAAGCTTGCATTTATCAGTTACAAATTATGGAGCATAGACTTTATGTCAGGAAGGCAAATGCACATTCCTATTACATTTAAAAAACCCACTGGACCATTTTATAAATCAGATTAAATATTTAATATTTATTATAATGAATGCCCTATTATTTATCTCCTGAGTGACTTTCAGCAGTCTCTTGGAGGTTAGGCCTGTGCGAAGCAGCTAGTATTTGCTTCAGATTTGGATTTGGCTGATTCAGGGGACAGTGATTTGATCTGGTGATTTGAATCAATGTCCCAATTCGATTTGGTGGAATCTGATTCACAGATTCAGCAGCAGCTGAATCTCTGAATCAGCCAGGCCAGGCCCATCCCCCACCCCTCTCCCAGCCCAGCAATGGCTGCCCCAGTTCCCAGCACTTGTAAAAAAAAAAAAAAAAAGCCCCAGATCACCGGGTCCTGCCAGGCAGGGGGCAATCCCCACTACCCCCAACTGCCCCACACTGCATGGGGGGGGCTCCACATGAGCCCCCCCGACTCCCTTCCCCTTGCATCCCCCAGGCCTCCCATGGGTGCCCCACCTGGGGCCTGCTCCAGCCCTTTAAGAACTCCCCCCCAAAAAAGCCCCAGGACTCACTGCTCCTGCCAGGGGGGGCAATCCCAACTGCTCCTCACTGCTCTGCACCACACGGGGGGCTCTGCATGAGCCCCCAAAGCCCCGAGTCTGAACCAGGAGTGGTGAGTCCTAGGGCTTTTCTTAGTTTTTTTTTCCTTAAAGGGCTGGAGCTGGCCTGGGTGCAGCACCCATGGGGGGACGTGGGCACACTA